CCATAGGCTTTTCCAAACCAAGTGTTACAGTTTAAGCTCTGATACCATTCCCTCCTTTGGGTTTATTATCTACAGTCCTTGGACCACACAGGCTGGTGTGCTTATTCCACGTGACCTTAGATGGGAGCTTATTTAGATGACTGCTTGTTTTAAGACAAAACTTTAAGAACACAAACAATATTCTGATAGCCAGCATCAGTTGGTGTCTGCACCACACTTTGCACACATATCTTCAGTGATCTCTTCATGAGGCAAGCATCAAGTAGGACCATGTCATCAGAACAAATTCTTCTTGGATTGGGACTAGAATTAAATGAGCCCCAAATCCATTCATAAGCACATCTCTGGCTCACTTTAGAGACATAATTCTTTCTTTTCCAATAAACAGTTTTATTGGCACTTCATCCACATTTCATCCAATTCACGATGGGGAAGTTCAATTTCAGAAGCTAAACCAGACCAAGGGCCAACTATAGAAGAGTTGCCATCAATCATTCATATGGAAGTTCAGGATAAAGCTGACGAAAATTAAAGCAAGTCACAGGAGAGAAAATATGACCTTGAGTCTATCCCATTTGACTTTTGAGACCATCTCTAGAAGAGATTTGCTGCACTGAACCCTTAGCAACAGAAGACCTGATGACCTGTGGTATGGTATCAAGCCCTGAAGAAAGCACAAGGTCATTATAAAGACAGGAACGAAAGAAAAGATCACCGTTGATGTCAGAAAGAGACTCTGAAACTTGCTCTTCATCACAGAGTAGCTAAGGCCAATGGAAGAAATGATAGAGTAAAACAGCTGAACAGAAAACTTCAAAGGGAAGCTCAAGAAGAGTAAGCGAAGCATTACAGTGCAATGTGAAAAGACTTAGAGGTAGAAAGCCAAAAGGGAAAGGATATGCTAAGCATTTCTTAAGTTGGAAGAACTGGAGAAAAAATTCAACTCTTGAGTTGCAATATTGAAAGATTCTATGGGCAAGATTCTATGAGCAAGAACTGATCAAACTGAAGGAAGAAGTTCTGACTGCTCTGAATAAAATTAGCCCAAAACAAAGTTCTACAAACTGATGGAATAAAAATAGATATATTTCAAGAATCTGGTGGAGCACTGGAAGCACTCACTCATCTATGCTGGGAAATTTGGAAGACAGCTACTTGGCCAATGGGATTTGTATTTGCTCATATTCCAAAGAATGGTGGCCCACCAGAAGGCTCAAACTATAGAACAATATCATTCATATCACATGCAAGTAAAATTTTGCTGCAGATCATCCAACAATGGTTGGCACAGTACATTGACAGGGAGCTACAAGAGGTTCAGGCTGGATTCAGAAGCAGATGTAGAACAAAGGATATCTTTGCTGATGTCCGATGGATCTTGGCTCAAGGCAGAGAATACCAGAAAGCTGCTTACTTATGTCTCATCGACTAAGCCCAGGCATCCGACTGTGTGGGCTATAACAAACTATGGACAGCTGAGGAGAGTGGGAATTCCTGTAACACTTCATTGTGCTCCTATGGAACCTGTACATAGATCAAATGGCAATTGTGTGAACAGGACAAGGGAATACTGCATGGTTTAAAATCAGGAAAGGTGTGCATCAGGGTTGCATCTTCTCACCATACTTATTCACTCTATATGCAGAGCAAATATTCAAAGAAACTGGATTATTTGAAGACGAATGTATTTCAGGCTTGGCAAAAGGCTTATTAGCAACCTATGATATTCAGATGACCCATCCTTGCTTGCTGAAAGTGAGGAAGACGACGCACTTGCTGATGAAGATCAGGGGTTGCAGCCTTCAGTGTGGTTTACAACTCACTGTAGAGCAGGCCAACGTCCTCACAGCTGGACCGCTAAGATCATGATAATCCGATCAAATATCCAAGTTATCAAGGATTTTGTCTTGCTTGGATCCACAATCAGTGCTCATGGAAGCAGCAGTGAAGAGATCAGAGGACACATTGCATTGGGTAAATCGGAAGCCTGAGGCCTCTTAAAAGTGTTGAAAATCAAGGATGTTACTCTGAGGTATGATGCACCTGCCCCAAGCCACGGCGTTTTCAATTGCCTCCTATGCTGGACATCGAATAAGGAAGACTGAGGAAGAACCGGTGTATTTGAACTAGGGAGCTGGTGAAGAACATTGTACCATGGACCGACAGAAGGATAAACAGATCTGTCTTGGAAGAAGTATGTCCTTAGAGGCAAGGAGAGCAAGACTTGGTCTTCCATAACCTGCCCGGAGAGAC